AACACACAATCATCATTTGTGCCGCTGTGCAGAATATACGTAACAAAATAAACACGCAGGCAGCACGCCTCCTCCCCATGTCCGTCTCACCGCAAAAAAAGCAAAAAAAATAAGAATACAATGTTTAACACGTGCCATCTGACACGCGGCCTTCTGTGAGCGCATAATTTCAGCAGCATTGGTGGTTCAAGCAAGCCTAACTCTGCTGATGACACACCGACTGTTGAAACCGGTGGTGGCTCTGTGCGTGTCTGTCATCCAGCACAGTGGAGGCAGGGATGTACCATAACCCTGGCTCGCCAGCAGAATGCAGCACACAAAAGTGTGGACTGATGTTGTCTATCCCTTCTCAAGCTTAACATATAAGAGAACTGCAGAGCAAATCGTGGCAGCGGCTCTTCCGCCTGGCAGCCTTCCAGCCTTCCAGCCTGGTCTGTGGTTCCTACACAGCGATTGTGAGAAGCAATTTGCATGAACGACGCTATATAAAACTAACCATTACGTTGTTTTCAGGTACACTTTGCCTGTGTTAAAACCAAAGCAGCTGAAATAATGCGCTCGTAAAGGGCCGTGCGGCTGATAAGATATTTGTTGTTTACGTAGAGGGACAGCTATGGGAAGGAGAATGTGGCGTGCGCATTGTCCGCTTAGTTCTTCTGGATGGAGCCATTTCAAAGAGCCACACGGTCCTCGTGACTCCTGGAATAGGTGGCCGCTTAGGTGCTTAATTCAAACACCGAGTTCCCTTGCTGCTTCTGTACATTTTGCTTTTCTTCAGAAACATTTGTTTTACAGCCTTGAAAATATATTTGTCAAGATGTGTTCTGAAAGGCATCCAGGCGCTGCGCATAAATGGAGCCACGTGGGCTCGACTGCAAGCAGCCACACGGGGGTGGGAGGGGAGATCATTATTTCATCCTGGCTCACAACACCGGCCTTTGAAGCCAAAGTGCCGCTGTACAGATGCCAGGGTGTCCTGGCGTTGCAATAATTAATGCCGTGCTGCCAAGGCACTGTCACTGTGATTCATAACGCAATGAACAGAACCCAGCAACTGCCCGCCGGTGGCCGGTGGCCGGTAGCAGTAACCTGCTCCGGTCAACAAATCGGGTTAGATCGCGTTATCGCGTTATTTATAAATGTGTCGTAACCCTCCACCACCCGACACGGCCAATCAGCAAAATAAAGTGTCACGTTGACAAAAGACAGTTAGTTCACTACTTTAGCCCACCGGTGTGTTGAAGAGTGAATCCACAACATTTACGTTGAAGTGTTGTGTAAAACTAATTATTACTGGCAAAGACTAATTAGAGAATCCATTGAAATTGAGAGAAACAGAAATAACTTTAATCGCTCTGACAGCTATAGGCTTAGTGTGGCTTGGAAGCGTATTATTAAATAATACATATTACAATTCCTTAAAGGGGAAACACATTAATTAACGGATTACTAATGTAGCATATATTCACAATAACACACATTAAAACTAATTACTAATCTACAACTCATTACTAATCATAACCATTGACTGATTACTAATCGATTATATAATTACACTACCCCCCTCCACCTCAAATCACTGCACCTGAAATGAGTTAAATGATGACATCACCTTGCTGCTCTATTTAAGACCGGGAGCAAGTGAGGGCTTTACCATTCTGGCGAATTGCCCGATGATGTTGGATGTAATTACCAGCGAAACGTCGTATTCAAACTGTAAATGTTGTGGATTCACTCTTCAACACACCGGTGGGCTAAAGTAGTGAACTAATTGTCTTTTGTCAACGTGACACTTTATTTTGCTGATTGGCCGTGTCGGGTGGTGGAGGATTACGACACATTTATAAATAACGCGATCGAACCCAAAAATCTTGATTATGAATAATATTGGTCGCGAAAAGCCTACTACGTGTTAAACTGACAAACGAACGTACGACGGGCACAAGAAGCCACGCCTTGGCCTGCCACGAAGCGCTCAACATCAACTGCAACCCGGTACTGCAACGTATGTGGCACGACAGCTCCCACGAGCACACCTGGCTACGTACGGTGCGAAATAAGTTCAACATACGTGCACACAACACGAGCATTGACATCGTGGTCGATGAATATGAATAGCAAAACAAATAAGCAGGCTATTCGCTTCCTTCACACGTCTGTCTCTCTCCAACATGAAATATTTGTAAAAATACTTTCCAGCAGCCACAAAGCCCTTTGAGAGTGATGTTTTTCATCAGCATTGGTTTAATGCAAACTATTTTTTATAATTATTATAATCCGCTTGTTTATCCAGAAAAGCTGAGTCTCAAGATACTTTTTCAGGAGGGTCCTCGCCAAGTTTTTTTAATCGGGGCGATGTTGCTCCATGTGATCCCAACTGAGTAATTATGAAGTAATTTTTCAGCATCGGGATGTTTTGCCAATACCAATTACATTGTGTTTTGTTTATTAGAGGAGAAAAACCATACAAGCTGGAGGAAAGACATCCAGATCAGGGGGACAGCTCACAAACAAACTCAACAACAATCAGCGTCTGGGACGGGAATTGAACCCAGGTCCTTCTTGCTGTGATGCGCGAATGTTACCACTGCACCGCAATGCCACCTAACTCTTGACCGGTTTCAGCATTCAGTCTCTCATCAGCAGTCAGGCTTGGATGACTGGAAGAGAAGTTTAACATGACCTCTCAACAAGATGACATGCCAAGGATAGCCGCCCCACTCTCATTGACGGATGGTAAGTTACGTAATGTATTTTTAAAATAGAATGGTCTGCTGTTTATTGGTTGGCTCTGGTATATATCAAGAATTATTTTACAAGGTTTCATGCTGTAACGACCCTGATTAATCTGTTTATGTTATTTGCAGAATAAACCCATTAAAGCTTTTATAACACAAAAAAACATATGCGCAATTATGTAAGTGGTTAACCTGTGCTGGGGCCATGAAAAACGACGTGTTATTTTATTGCATCGCTGGTATTACCACAAAGATGATTTCTATAATTAATGCACGAGCAAGATTATATCGCCTAATTTTACCATTCAACCAAGCGCTCCCATGCAATGTAACACTGCAGCACAGGCACGAAATTATCTTTCGTGCGGTTATGGAGAAAATACGTAACAAAAAAAATATACGTGGACGATAATGTATCCTGCAAACATCTATCCCTAACAGAGGTTTTTGGTTCAGATTTCGTAAATATATAAACGAGTCGTTAAACCCGACACAGCCAATTATTAAGGTTTGTCACGTAAACAAAACATGCCAATTCTTTACTAAATCAGCACACCGGTGTGTTGCAGAGCAAACCCACAACATTCACAATTTGTCACCTAAAAACCTCTATTAAGGATAATATTGCTGTTAAACTGACATCTATTCCTCCATGTATATAAATAATTGTATTTTGTACACATTCCATGGGCTGCACGGCCTTCTGGGAGTGCATCATTTAAGCAACAGTGGTTCAACAAGAAACTCTGAACACGTTTCGACATTCAGTATCTCATCAGCAGCCAGCTCCCTGACCCAATGCTGGTGAACTGCCAGATGTTTATAGGCAAGGACCCTCTCTGTTCGATGTGGGTCCTAGTTTCATGCAAAGTGATAATTAGCGATATGGAAAATATAAATAACAAAATAAAAGAGCATACTTCTTATATCTAATAACTTGACACATACTTTCTAGAAATCCCGCAAATATCTACTATTTAAGCGATGTAACTCTATGCAAAGAAACACAGAGAGATGTGTGCTTGGAATCACATTGGCTTAGAGAACATCATCAGGTTACTGACATCGTGCAAACTATTAGAATGGAATGAGTCTGAGAGAACGTTCACCCAGGAGAGATGGAGCAATGAGATCAGCTAAAGTGCAGGTGCTGGATGCATTTTTATATTGCAGCATCGTGAGAGGTGGCGGGGGTGGTTTGGGGAGGCCTTCATCTAGCAGTGGATTGACCATGGTAGATGATGATGATGATGACGATCATTAAAGTAATGAAATGGGTATTACAACAATCATCTCTTTCCGGGAACGTGATGCCTTCGCGAGCCTTTGGTGTTTTGCTGCACAACGTTGACGATGAAGGTGAATTATTCCCGTACTTGTTCGCATAATGTTTCAATATGGGCAAGAAGCGTGGCACTGACATTTCAGGCCACTTTTATCCATTTAAGAGGACGCATATTTGTTCAAATTGAAATCATCTGCACAAATTCCCAACGCCACTTGAAGTGGTTCTCTACCCCACTGTGGCCACAACACGTTTCCAAAATTATTGGAAACGTGTAAAATGCTCTTTATGAAAATCATATTTTTGTTGTACAGCCTTTCATATGACAGAATACGTATGTCTCGAGGGTTATAAATCAATATAATATTCAAAAACAAAAAGATAAACTGACAATATGCCCCCTTCACGTATCTGGCCCTCTACACACAAAAAATAATTACGAGTATTTTTTACACAATCCATCTGCTAAACGGCTTTCCGGGAAATATTTATTTCACAGCAATGGTCTCATAGAAGCAAACGCTGTAGCAGTTTCGACATGCAGTGTCTCATGAGTAGATTTAGGCTTGCTGAATGCAATGCTAAACTGCAAAGTGTTTATAGGCAAGGACCCTCTCTATTAGATATAGGTCCTATCGAACACAGACCAAACCCAGACATGTTTCTCAGTCAAGCCTAGGCCCAGCAAAACTGCGAAGTGTACCATAATCAAGTTCGACACAACAATACTGGTACCAGGTCTCTTTACGAATTCATATCTGACACCAAAACACAGATGTCAATTTTCTGGACTCTCCGGGTAAAATACCTGCATGGGTTGCAAACCGTACTTGGCATTAACAACTATCTACGCAGGAAAAAAAACCACGTCGAGTTTTTTTTGCGAACAAAGTATCCATAATATCATAGGAACCTTGAATTTACAGAAATATGATTCAAGAAAGTTCGTGCCAGATTTACAAGTGAAGCCGACTGACCTTCTCCACATACTTGAACTTCACGTAGAACCAGCTAGATTTGATCATCTTGCCTTCGCAGCCTCGCGTTCTCACAACGGCCGCCGTGCGCTCCGAAGCCAAAAACGGATTCCAAGCACCACGCCTGGTCGTGCACGCAGCGTGGCAGCCGCCGAGCGAGGAATTTGCGAGGATCTCCGTAATCGTTACTAACACGGTCTTAAACGCGCAGTAATCCTCCTGAGACACTACGAGCGATGGCTACACGAGGAGAGCAAACACACCTCGCACGCACGCACCTCGTCTCCTCGCACACTACTCGCAAATGCGGCCAACGTGAGCGGCGCGCAGGATGGCAGCTCGCACGCGAACACGGCACAGGCTATGTGAACTCGCAAGAAAGAGAATCTCCTCGTAATTGTGCCCGGCTGTGCTGAGTTCAGCCACCACATGTCGCTTGGCAGCAGCAGCAGGCTGGATCAAACCACGCTCCTCCCACAGCCGCCTCCAGCCACTGAGCCACGAATGAAGCCCTCACTATGGGGCGTCCCCACAGTGGCTGCCTTGTGGCAACAGAGGCCATAGGCACGCGCCACTCAATTGAGCAACCAGGCCACAGCCACCGACAATCATTCATACTGCAGAGCACAATGCACCCACACCGCATCCATTATAAACACGCTCGTGTGTGATGGCCTTGATCGCAGCATTAAGAGGAAAGCATTCTGAATGTAGATTATGAATATATTGTGACAGAACCTCAAGGAAAATACAATCAGCTTTGATTTTACAATAGCAGCAGGACGCCACACCTTACAAATGGATATTCCTTTGGTCAAAGTAAAGTGGCAGCCCTGCAATTGCTTGTTCACTCTGCTGTTGGTGGAATGGCCTCTGCTTGAGGGAACCCGAGAGGGTATTTGCTCTACACTTCCGAGTTGACTAGAACAGTCAGAGGACGTGAGCGTATCCACATATTGCCACACCACACGCGGCGTTCTAATTGACAATCTGTGAGGATTTTAAAAACCTTGTTTCAGCTGCCGTGCCAGGAGATGGCAACGAACGGCGACCTCTGAAGTCCAGTGTGCTCGCACTACTGCGGCAGCTCCCTTTCCCCGAGTAACACTGGGCAGTGCATTACGAGTGGAGGTGAATAAAGGCGCATTCACAGAAAGTTCCAACGTCTACGCTTGAGATTTGCATCAAAATAGCAAGTGAACAAATACACGAGCCTGGCCTCGGACGCATAACCTCACTGGCGCTGGCTCACAGCAAATGAGTTCATTTGTAGGGGGCCTTTGTGAATGTGACTGACAGATTGAAATAATCTTCCTGTCTGGCCAGGGGCAGCAGTGAGTGCGAGTCCCATGAGACTGCTCAGCCAACTGTAGCAGCCTCAGCCCTGCGGCCTGACTTTATGCACTTGGCACTCGAGATCCCACTTCACCTCCATATAGATTCTTACTTATTCTCACCATTACACTTGTTTAACCCCCGGAGAGTCTCAAAGAGGCTCCTTTGCAGGAGAGTCCGGCCACATTTTCACCTTAGAGGGAGACGATTGTAATTTGACAAATTATTTGACCGGCAAACAATGGCCTACTCATCGTTGAATGACACGAAGGGATCTCTTAACATCCACCGCGAGCGAAGCGGACAGCGAGTGGTCTTTTATGGTTGACACACACCGCGATGTCAACCAGGGCGACGTGCGGAATCAAACAGTGGACCTCTACAACGAGTGGTGAACGTGCTACAGCCGGACCGTGCCACCGCTAAGCTGCAGCGGCCGTGCGGTAGGCCCATGGAAATCCCCGACTGCTCAATCCCACAAACGCCAGCGTGCGTCAAAACGGAAACCGACAGCGAAGGTCCACAGATCAAGACAGAGATAACGTACGTTTTGAATAACTTTAAACGTAAAACAGTTCGACGTTGTATGCATTACTGAGTGTATAATAGCTTTTATGTTAACAGTTTTGAATTTATTTGGCAGGAAGGCGGTGGGCGGTTATATGCATACACTGCACTGGCAATGATAGGTTAAGTGTGCCGTCCACCTTTTAAAAGGGAGGGGAGTAGATCCTTCCACATGCATCTAACTAGGGCCGCCACCTTTTCCACTCAAGACCAAACCTCGATATCCCTGAAGGCCTATTATCACAACTGTGCAGTGTACCGTAATGAAGTTCAGCACAATAACGGTACCAGACCTCGGTACAAACCAATTCCTGCTACCACCCAAACAGAAATGCCCACTCATGGCTACACCAGGTCAAAAACCGGGACAAGTGGCAAACCCTGTTTCTAACCTGTGCCTTGCCCTCCACTCACCCGTTAACATTTGCACTTATCTGCTTCGATTCCCTTGCACCGTCTTTTCTCATGGCCTTAACTCAACACACGAACAAGAATAGCTCTCCCAGACGCGACTACTTCATGCACACGATGTTCAACCACCACGGTACAGCTCAAAACACTCTCTGCTTCTCCCTCCCCTAGCACTGCCCCACACTGGAATGCCCTCCGATCGTCTCTTTTCCCAATCTCCTCCTCAATTCAAGAAACGTGTAACACTCTTATCTATTGCAGCTCTTCGATAGTGCTGTTTGTTGCTGGCCACTTAACATGCTGGGCCTCGGCAACTGTGAAACAAAAATAAACACTCCAGTGTAATGTTCAACAAGCATCGTATGCATGCACAAACGGGAAATATTTGGCATATTACGATGTGTTTTGTTCCTTAAAAAACGAAAATAAGTCTAGCACGCACCCAACAAGCATGCGAGCATCTCGCATGCTCCTAAACCCCGTGCCCACGCGGCCTCGCCACGCACGAGCACCCAGGATCTTTCTTGCAAGGCAGCCAGCACACTTTAGTTCCTTGCTGACATTTCCTGCAGGCTTGCTGGGAACTGGAAACTAATGGCTTGTGACAGGGGAGGAAGAGACCCGTAGGGCATGAAGGCTGTTGGAATGGTTGGCCTCCACCTGGCAGTGTGGATCAGTCTGCTGCTAAAGCACATGTGCAAATGCACGCTTAGCAATATGCCCATCTCACGCACCGTGCATTCGCTGCCACTGTGTATCTAACGTATCACTAAAAACAGGTCAAAGATGATGTCCTGGTCAAATGAGCAACGAGGCGGGGCTCATCTGCTTACGGCTTTGTAGGGCCTGTGGTGTAAATTCCACATTCCCATGACAGGGATGAGCATATTCACATGAGAACCACTGTTGACTTCTCCACAAAATGGTGCTCGTTTTATCGAATCCAGAGGAATAGATGGATTATCTAACTCCTAACGTGTATAACGTTGAACGCGTAGGTTTTCACAGTCAATATTGTGAATCATCATGGATTTTTGGGTGAGGCAACACAATGATCTGGCCAGAGAGTGACTTCCGGAATTTTATTCCGACTTCCTGGATCTTGTTCCCAAGATGCTTGACGTAGTTTCAAGATAAATGCCGCGTTTTGAATTGCTAAGTTTGTTTCTGAAAATTCTTCTTCAAAACTTATCGGTGGGTTGAAACAAAATTAATCGGTGCACGAAATACTCGTGCATGTGAACATTTTATTTGTTTGAGTGTTGGAAGGGTTTTTAAGACACAAATTTGGCCAGATATTTCCGAGGCTTAACTCCAAATTAAATCATGCATATACATGTCACAGCACCTTGGCCGTGTGCAATTCCCATCCGTGCTTAGAGGCAGCTGAAACTGAGCGACATGTGAAGTGAAGAGGCGCGCGGGCGCAGCGTGAGCCGTGCACCGGCCCCCCCCACCGCTCCCCCTACCGCCTACCGACCTCACGTTACCCCCGCGCTTCATGCTCCGCAAACATCCTTCAGCGTGACATCTGTTTGAGCCGCAGGCTCTACCTGCCCTTCATTCCGCTCCGCAGCACGGCCACGCCGTCTCGTAATCATTACCAGTCAGCCAGCGCTGTTTCGCTACCCGCGTCTGATCGCGCAGTGGCACGCACGGTCAACGGAAACGCACACCAACAGCCCGCCGATAGCATTTCATTGATTTCTGGATACTCAGAATTTTACTAAACTTTTCCAGCATCTTACACATTCTGAAAATGCTGTTGAAACCGAAGCTATTGCGATGCGTAAAAGGAATTAAACGTGACCGCCACGTGCACCGCACAGACGCGTACATCACTGCTCGGCTGGGGGGGGGGAGGGGGTTCAAACACAGCTACTGAACACAACCCAAACGCCCAAAACGTCAGGCGACCAGCAACCGGCAGCACCGTTAAAGTTTATAATCGATAAGAGTTGACGCATTTCTTGAATTGAGCAAGGTGCGTGCAGAGCACAGCTTCCCGCAAACCGCTTCTACTCCTTCTCACAGAGGAAGCAAACATTCAAGAGAGGCAATGGCGGGTGGATTTATGCACCGCAGGTCGGTGAGAGGTGGCGCCGGCTCGGCTCAGACAACAACGCTCCAGAGACGTTCCTGCTTGCGCTGCTGCGCTAAGGCCATGCGGAACACGAAGTCTCTGAAAACCAGCAAGTCCCCTCTAATAGCGGCAACAGATGTGACGCAGATCAATCATCGCTGATAAGCCTGGAATCAATATGGATTACCTGCAGGGATGTATAAGTCAAACCCTCAGATTACTTCGTAAATTTGGCTTGGATAATACAAAGTTTAAGCACAAACACATGCAGTTGCTGCATACAAAAAGAGTGTATGCTACTCAATAACAAAAGTAATCATTTACATTTGTAAGGGGCATAGATCCTAATGCAGTATATAAACAGTAGACTCAATTCTCCGCCCAATGATACGGAGAGGATGGCCCCGTCAAAATAGCGGATAATTAAAAAAAGATGAATTTTCCGTGGATCTCGATGCCAAAAACCACTAATATAGGTATAAATTATGTTTAATATAAGAAAATGTTGTTTTGATTTAAAGCTTTCGTGACTGCAGTAATTCATATTCTTAGCTCTTTCGGTAAAATAATAAAAATAATGAAATATATTTTATTATTTTATTGTTTCCCTTCAACGTGACTTTACCGAAAGAGCTAAGAATAAAATGTTGTTTGTTAATAAAAAAAAAAATGTGTATAAAAGAATCGACCGACCGATACGCGTGCTAAGTGCTAACACTTTTACTGCTCCCGTGCAGAAAACTGCGCCCACTAAGTGGACAGCAGCAGAGCCAAGCCAATCAAAATCAAAACCCAGCCCACTGTTGTAAAGATATGCAACTACTGCACTGTAGAGGCGATCAAGTGGATTTTGAATTAACCGGTGCAACATATTTCTTCGGTTGAAGCACATGAGTTGCAATACAAAAATTTTCACGGGTAAGAATGTATAACTGTTTTTAGATTATTCATTTTGGGCGTAAGGGAAAATCCGTGAGTCATGAATTGATGTCAAAATGTCAGGTGTGCGGTTAATCCGCAAACCGCATGCGGATAATAGAGAGTCTACTGTATATTTTAAACAGTTGAAGCAATTGGCGAGACTCCGGGATCCCATCACTGCCCCGTGGTGGGAAAAACCGCGTAGCGACACGAGTCTTGCCTTACCGACAACAAAACTAGTGTCAATCGATTGGCCTCGTCGAGAGCTACTCGGGGCACTAAGTTTCGTAAAAAGTTGAAAATTGACATAAACACGTTAAATCCACTGCCTAGGGGGCGGGCTCGCCTAGGCAAAGAAGCTGAGGATCGACGGCTGACCGGAGGGCGTCGTCGCCGCACGCGACTGCGGCGGACGCCCCCCGGGGCTTGCGTTTGGCCGGTGGGGTGGTGCCCATCGTGTTGATCGCCGCCTGCTGCTGCTGCTGGCGCGAGTCTGGGCGGGCGGCGCGTTGCTGTCGGGATCACGAGTGGGCAGACTGAAAAATAATAGTTATTGACCTGATTTTTGCGGGACCCCGGGGTCCCGCCAAATGATTCAGTTGCTAACCACAGGGCCAAAGTCAAGCGGCCAGCAACAAACAGCACTCATACAGTTGTAATCCAAGTCAAAGTTAATTCCTACTCAAATGAGCATTGAAGTGGTGCTCATCTCCTGCTTACAGCTCTGGAAACAGTGGTGGACATTCGACATTCCTGTGGCAGGGAAGAGTTTATCCAGAGGACAACCACTGCTGAAGGTTGTAATTGATAAGAGTTAACACCGTTCTTGAATTGAGCAAGGTTACTGTAAAACCTTGGGACAAAGACGATGAGAGGGAATTCCCAAGTGGAGCAGTGCGAGGGAGGGAGCAGAAAGCAAAGTGTTGTGACCTACAGTGTGGTGAGTGGAAGAGTGAATCGGTGTGTCAATGAGTGGGGGAGTGAATTGGTGTGTCAGTGAGTGAGTGTATGAGTGAGTGATTGGATGAGTGAGTGGGTGTGTCAGCGAGTGTGGGGAGCGGTGAGGCAGTGTTTAGCGTGCTGACTCGGGTTCAATTCTTGCTCCGCATCAGTGAAAAATATTTGAACTGGTCCTAGGCCTCCTTGAGGTCGACTCAGTCTTAAATGAGTAACTGCTCCGGTATGTAAACATCAGCACTGGAAAGCCAAAGGCGGCCAGGCATGATGCTACCCACACCACCCTCTTGTGTGTCGTTCTGGCCTTCATATAGGTGGTCACTAACAGCACTTGGCCATAAAGTCTGTTAAGGCTATATGGAAGATCTCTGTCTTTGTCTTGTGTGGGTGAGGGGATGGGTCGATGAGTGAGTGAGTGGGTGAGTGGATGAGTGTGAGTCAATGAGTGAAGTGGGTGGGTGAGTGCATTGTGACTTTCAGTGTGGTGGTTGAATACAGTGTGGATGAGACGAGGTCAGTCTGGTAGACCGAGATCTCAACACAGGTTGGAGGAATCTGTGAAGTTCAGGGAACATTAACAATGGTAGTAGCAACAGCGGAGCAATAGGGAGGCGACTAACCGCCAGTGAGCAAGGATCAGACGAAAGTGAATTAGTGAGTGCTGGATCATCAATCAACCAAAGTGCTTTGCCATTCATGATGCCTAATCACTCGTCTATACTTTAGGTGTGTACATTGTATTCATTAGTGACGCTGACAGCCACACGACTTGTGAGACACCGCCTCTTGCCCCCGTGTCATACGCATCAGCAGCACTACGTGCCACCGACCACCAGCAATCACTCGCGTGACACCGTGACCTCCCCCTGTTTAAAAGGGGCCGCTCGGCTACGGGTCGATTACAAAACGCTCGCGCTCCACAAACCACCTGTCAAAGCAGTGTTTGTACTCCAAAACCATATCAACATACTGCCACCTATGGGCCTCAACTCGGCAGTCGTTTCACAGACACCGCAAAAAACCACTTTGCACTGACATGTGAACATCACGGTCATGTTAGAGTCCAGTAGAAGCACAAAATGTGCTGTGTGCAATCGCACAGAGAAAACATGGCCTATACATTCATATTCGTGAATATTTCATTATAACTGTGCATGATAAACCCGATGATGAGAATGACGATGAATGCACACGAGGTTGAACACTTGTGTTGCAGTCGAAACGTCGTGAGAATTTTATTGTTTTGTATTTTTATTATTTTATTGTTTCCCTTCTATGTGACTTTACCGAAGGAACCAAGAGTGTGGGTCCATGCAGTCACGAAAGCTTTAAATCAAAAGTTGAAATACTAATTAAGTTAAAAATACCGATATGTTCAATGTCCCACGTGATGGCGTCGTGGGGTAGCTCTTCGACCCTCCCCAATATGATTAAAAACTTTGCGGAATAATACAACTTTACAGGGTCTACAAAAGCGCACCTGGCGGTGGGGGATGCGAGCTCCAGAGTTTATAACTCCAGGGCCGTTTAGGTTTAAAGTTAAACTTGCGAACGTTCTTAGCGATTGCTTAAATGATGGCACTGAGCTATGGCCATTTTTTGCCAAACGGATGCAGATTTAAAAAGCCCTTCAATGCAAGTATCTGTATCTGCTCCGATATCACTTGCCGCCGATGTTAGCCGTGGCTCCGCAAACGAACTTGTATCTCCAGGTTCATAGTGGAACGCGCGTTGAAAGCACTGCACCACTTAACAATGTCTGTCTAAAATGTTTCGCTCCGGATGACCGCTGCAAAGTATGATCTGTGTTTTTATTTAGTGTGCTGATCTTAAAGGTGCATTGAAAAATGTTGATACTCCGGCTGATGCTTCTGTTGTTGTGGAGTGACTCATGCAGCCAGCTATGGCTCTAGGGTTTGGTGGTGCATGTTGTTTATGTAGTTTATTGTTAAAAATTCGGTCACAGTCCCTATGATCACTGTTACATTGCATTTATGGGTTTATATTGGTGATTTCGAAAAGTTTTTTGGTTTGGCCATGTTTGTTTTGTTGTAGTATGGAGTTAGACTGATGGCCTTAATCCAAGTTGTCTTGTGGTCGTTGTTGTTTGACTTGCATCCCACTGGGATTTTTGCACACAGCGTTGGTGTACGGTGCTTTTTCAAGGATTATTTTGCTGTTTCTTCCTGGATTTTCTGTTTGCACAGTCACATAGTCACTTTAAGATGTTTTCTTGTTCATGTTTTTGTTTTTTGTTTGTTGCGGTTGCACCCGATTCAAGAGCCGAATGGCTCACAGGGCTACACCAAATAAATGAAACTGAAACCTATTCCGTGGGACCACTGCCGCAGTGCTGTCGCAAGACACAGCGCCCGTCACGAGGAAACGGTGAACGGGTTTGTCCTGCAACCTTTTCTCGACTTCTCAGCAGCAGCTTCTGTTGCATGAAGATAGCTAAGCAAAAATTCCCCTGCTTCTCATATTTGTCCCTCCACATAAACAATAAAAGTATAATATTACACATCCAGTCGGCCACACGACCTTCTGGAGGCGCACCATTTTAGCAGCATTGGTTCAACACAAGCAAACTTTGGACCCGTTTGAAAATGCAGTGTCTCATCAGCAGCCAGGCCCACTTGAGAACCAATGCTGGTAAACCTCCAGATGTTCAAAGGCAAGGACCCTCTCTGCAAGATACGGGTCCTAGTTTTGATGCAGAACTTGATATTATACAACATTAAGTAATCATCAGCGTCGTTGCAGATATCACATGAAACGAAATAATATTTCTGCACAGCGAGGCGAACGACGAGTGTTGCGCTGTGTGCGGACAGCAGAGGGAGACAGCTTCCAACGGAGGCCGGCCGCTTGTGCACAGGCGGGCCATGCCGCCTTGCCCGTCTGCATCTGAGTGGATGCGAGTCTCAATGACTCGCATCCACTCAGATGCAGTGCCCTCTGGCATGACCATCAAGACTACAAAACAACACCGTATTTGGCTAACCAATTTGAGCACGGTTGGCTACGTGCGGTGCGAAAGAAGTTTAAGTTCAACAACGCCAATGATTATTTTGTGTTGTGTTATACAGTTTTGCCATACCTAACAGCCAGGGTCCTCTCCTATTAATGGCTGGCAGTTCATCAGCATTAGTTCAAGCAAACTTGACTGCTGATGAGACATTTAATGTTGAAATTTGTCTCGACTTTGCTTATCTTGCATGTCCATGTGTTAATCTTCTTTTGCACCGTACGCAGCCAACCGTGCTAATCTAGAACCTAAGTTGCTGAAATGATGCACTCCCAGAAGGCTGTGGCTGACGGGATGTGTTAAAAACTTTTCAATTTTACGTGGAGAGACGGATATGTAAAGGAGGAATATTGTCTGCTTATTTAATTCGATTACGAAATACATTTACTGTTTTGGATTCACACAGCTAAAGGAAATGCTACATTACAGTCCTGTATTTTTGTTTGTAATAAAAGCCTATTCCAGACAAAAAGCATCTTACGTTACAAAAATGATAAACCGTCAGTTTTTACAGAGACCAATGTAAATTTGCAGGTAAATTCATTGGAAAAAAAGATTGTAAGAAAAGGTACAAATTAAAGAGTGCATCTTCAATTGCTACATAATCAATTGCTCGATAATTATAAGCAGGGCTCTTAGCACTGCATTTGCTTGGATTC